TCCCTTTAAACCTAGCCAAAAAAACCGTATGTGTTGACTGTGAAACACAGTAGACTTTAATAATATGCATTTATGGTGTAATTACTACATTTTCGTGTCAATCCATGTTCATATTTACTGCAAACAATGCGCTATTACTTTGGCTTACACATTAACATGCGATCTGTATCCGGATGTTGTCCACATACAAATTGAAAAGGCAAGTGTAAACGCGCTTCTGATCGGAATGTTATCCGATCAGCGTGTCCTGGTGCAGAGGTAGTCAAGGGCGCATTGTGATCGGATCTCAGTGTAATGTAAATGCATATCCAGCCATCGTGTCTGCATTCGCAGGGCGACATCACGCAAAACGCCGCCCCCTCTCTCGCGAACTGTCAGAAAAAAAGAACACCCGTGTGGAGACTAGTGAAACTCCTACACTTATCTTTGATTTGTAAAATGTCCCGTGACTGAAAGCCCACCACTTTAGGTTGACTTTGCACCGGACCATTCTCTGCAAACTTATTTAAATATTGCGCGGGAAAGACAGATCCGATCGGTTATCCAGATAGAGAAGTCAGTTGATGTTGCCAAGTGTAAACGCGCCGTGTTCTGATTGACTGGTGATCCGATCTGCTTGATTGGATCACGGTGATCGCATGTTAATGCCAAGTGTAAACGCAGCCTTTAATTCAGCGCATGCAGCGGAATCGATCTCTGCACTGCTGCAGACGCACCGCTCCTGGAACGCACTGCTGGACCGCAACTGTGTGCAGCTTGCACGCTTTATTAATCCGTTAACATGAGCGCGGAAAAAAATATGCACCACATACACACTGCAAACGGAGTAATGTGCATGAGCGCACGGTCTCCATCCATTTGCATATTTTGAGAAAGAAAGAGAGCGCGCGTGGTGATTCACTCATGCTATTTGTGAAATTACGTCTCACACAAGGTTTTCAAATTACTTTGTTATTTAATGAAGAAATGTGAAGGTGAGTACCTCACCTTCAGCATTATAATGATTTCACCCGCTCCGGACAGAGACTGAGACGGTGCCGCTGCATGTCCTGCCAAACCTCTCACAGCAGTGTCTTCAGCTTGAGATCGTTTTTTTGAGATCGGCCTTTTAGAGACCACCGATCAATCATCCCAACGTGATTATCGGCCGATAGTGATCGGTAGCCGATCAATCGCAGCACCCCGAATTGTTAGAGTATTGTAGGATTAGTTTAGCAACACGCAAATCTAATTTTTCCATATTTTTAAATAAAAAAAATATTGTTTAATATTGTGTAAAATGAAGTGTTGATTTCATTGAATACAGTTTTGTGTATGTATTTACAGTCTTAAAATGGTAGTGTTTTAATTTTATTTAAAGGGGTCCTATTATGCTCTTTTACAAAGTCTTGATTTTGTTTTGGGGGTGTACTAGAACAGGCTCTCATGTAACTTTGCAGATCTTTTTTATGCTCAAACAGCAACATTACACACTAACTAAAGTTGAAAAAGTGCATAATAGGACCCCTTTAATTCAAATGTAAAATTTAAATGCTATCCTATTTTATTCATTTTATTTTGTTTTATTTTTTATTTTATTTTAAGTAAAATAAACAGTACACATTTTATCAGCCAGTCTAGATTGGCACTGGTCTTTGAAAAACACATATTGGTCAACAACTAGTGTTTTTCACGAATACGTTTCTGTGGCTGTGCTTGTGTTTGCTTTTGGTTAAGTGCTTTTTTATGGCTCTGCAATCAGTTGTTTGCTTTTATTCCAGTAGGTTCTGATTTCTATTGACCCAATGAGCTATTATGACCCAGCTATTATGAGAATGTCATTCAGAGTGGTGTTTGCTGTCATGCATGACCTGCAGCCCAACATTCTGAGAAGACAGACAATGTTGTTATGTTAGAGCTAAATTGCCCCACACCCAATTTCTTAATGCATTCATATTGACTTCATATAATATTATGCCTTGTAATTCAATTCACAGAGAGAAAGAGGATATAGATTAATTTCAACCCCTCTCTCTGAGATATTTTTTATTTAGAAACGTTATTTTTAGTCCTGGATGTCTGGGATGTGGTTCCTTCAAAGCCAGGTCAGAGGAATCTAGAGCAGATTCTTTCCTCACATGTCTATATCTCCCTCAACCCTTAAGGCCAGCAACTGTTGGCTGCCAGCAACTGGAACACAGTCAGTGAGGCTGAAATGTGTTGCTATGGCTGACATAACTCACACTTGTGCTGACTAACCCGTGGCAGATGACCAGCTCTTTAATGCAGAACATGGACAATAAATCAAAGCAATGCTTTATTAATTATACAGTGGCCCCCAAAAATATTGGGACAACTGAGCCACAGTTCAAAATGTATGAATTTCATTGCATAACAAAAAAATCAAAGCAAGTGACTTCTGCAAACAAATGATGCTGGAGTTTTTGTAGAATTATCTTCTTTTTAGCCATTTATTGCAGTGACTTAATGAATGAAGTTCCACCAATGTTTCAAAATGAGAAAATGTTGAAATACCTTTAATAGTGAACAATGTATATCAAAACAAACGACTTTTTGTGAAATGTTTGAAAAATGTACTTTTGCTTTCTTTCTTTAACATTAATGATACTTTTTTATGTTTTGTTATTTAATGCAATGATATTCATACATTTTTAAGTGTACTGTAACCAAAGTGTCCAATATTGAAGTCAAAGTGCCAAAGGGGCACATATGAATTTACAAGTCACTTGTTTTATTATTTATATATAGGCTGCTGTATTCGTAAAAGTTGGTAACCGATAGGTAATACAGGTATGGCATGAATAGAGTTTACACTATTTGAGAAACTACATATATTAGTCTTATTTAGGAATATTTGTAATTTTACAAATTTGTCACCTTTTTTTAATAGACTTGGCAAGAATGTAAAAAATTATACTATATTAGATAAAAATCACTGTATTATACTGTACACTATATTATAATGGTAAAATTATTATAAATAAATTCTTATTCTTTCTTATTCTTTACCTGAAATATTGATTTTAATTTAAGAAAAAGTTAATTGTGTCTGATAGTATATATATATTTGATAAAGTATGCTTGCGTTGAAGTACAGTGTTAATTATTCACTAAAGCTGGTAAACACTGATCTTTTATTTATTTACAGTGTGCCAGTGATCTGAAAATGTGAATATTGGTATAAGTAAATAAATAATATTTACATTTCAGGGTTTTTTTGTAATAATGCAAGAATATGATTAACATATCATGACATATTGGCTCCATAAATAGAACGGGAGGCCATGATTATGGATAACCTCGACCCTAGAGTATGGTAAAATACATTAACATATTCCTAGTAGAATCCACATGACCTTTAAGTATAGCCTATTACATCACTCTCCTCTCAGCCAATCAGATACGCTTATGCTCTGAATTGAGTGACACTAGGATGTGGCTGGGTCAGCGTCAGGGCCTCGACGGCGTCTCCTAGCAACAGGGCAAATGTGACGCCCTCAAAGATTGGCAGCAAAGGCTTTGCATACTGCTTTGACTGAGCAGCCAATCTATGCTCTCTGATAACACTACAGCTCCTAGAGTGAGTCATGTATTCAGCCACAGAGCAGATGTGAAGAAAACTAAATCTAGACTGCAAGGAAACAGCATCTGTTCTGAACTTAACCTGGCCTGTTTGTTTTAGGTGATAATGGCTCCTTTCTATATTTATATGTGTGTGGTTTGTCATGATTATTTTTTAATGATCTCTACAGTGCTTTCCACATGCTCTCTCTGAATTTCTCTCTAGATTGAGAACATTGATGCCTGTCTGAGCTTCCTAGCTGCCAAAGGTGTGAACATACAGGGACTTTCAGCTGAAGGTAAAAACACAGTTTTTAAAATGCTTATTTACAGTAAGATTTTATTACAATTTTGATCTGGTTTTTCACACTTTCAATTATTAAGCCAGGGTTATTTTAACCTGGGTTATCTTGTTACAAGTTTCACACTGTTCATTCTTCACCCTAGGTTAGTAATTTAACAATTTGGGTAGTCAGGTTTCAAGATTTTACATCTGTAAACCATTTGTCGATATTTATGTTTCTGGGTTATTTGCATATTTATGAGGTTAAAACTTTGATTGGACAAGAACAGCACACAATTTGTTTGCTTTTTTGAGTGCCTCTATATCATTTAATGTGTTTTCTTTCACTTTTTTGTGATTTTTATGTTTCCCTCATATGGTGAAACTAAACAAAGTGCAGAAAAGTTTCTTTGACTGTACAAAGCACATTAATACTTAATGAAGCATGAGTTGTTTAGTATATCATTGGCTGTTTGTTGCAGAAAAAACTTTCAAACACCACATTTCAAACTTTGTTGCTACTGCACAAGCTGTAAATTTGTTTATACAGGGTTTTATATAATACAGATTGTTTCAAAGCAGCTTCATATTAATAAACAGGAAAATAACAGAGTTAAATTTATAAAATTCATGAATTCTGAAACAAATTAAAGCTGTAAAGCAGCTCTACAGAAGAGAATTGTGTCATAATTCAGCTCAATTTAGTTCAGTGTTGGTTCAGTTCAATAACTCAGCGTTGTAAAGTTTATCAATTATGAAATGAGTTCAGTTAAGCAGCTCTATAGAGGTCAATAATGTTCTTAGTTATTCATGTTATGCAAGTCATTTCAAATTTGATTCAGTTTAGTTAATAGTGGTGATGCTTCAAAATTAGCAAAGTTTCATTCGATAGTATCAGTGCAGTTTAATCGATAATAATATGGAATATTAATTGTCTTTTAAACCCCCAAAAAGTGGTGCTAACGGCCTTTCAAAATTACAACATGCTTAACGTTAAAAGGGACATTAGTGTAAAAGCATATTAATGAAACAATCATAAAATGGCTTTATTGTCAAGCACTTGACTGGTAGCGGCACAGTGGCTGATAACTGGAAGGTTGTAGGTTCAATCAATTCCTACAAGAAGCAAGAGTGAGGCACTAAACCCCATCATGCTGTACAGGGGACTGTGCTTGTAATTAGTGCCCTACTAATTACTTTGAGAGAAAAGTGTCTGCCCAATTATATACTAAACAGCAATGTGTTGATGAACATCTCTTCCTCACAGAGATCCGGAATGGAAATCTGAAAGCCATCTTGGGGCTTTTTTTTAGCCTGTCTCGATACAAGCAGCAGCAGCAGCAGACGACGAACAGACAGACGCACACGCAACACACACATTCACACACTCCCTTAATCCAGCAGAGCAGCACTCTGGCCCAGCTGACCTCCACTTCGCATGGGACGCACACACACAAAACACAGCCAGAGATGCAGTCCAGGTAACATCTATCTATCTATCTATCTATCTAGCATTCTCATTCTATCTAATGTGCATATGTTATATGGATTGTTTGTGGACTGATTTGAAGCAATCTGTCTATATAAATGTGTCTTCATTCTCTTAGCATTGTGATTGTGTGATGTTGTGTTAGTCATCACTGTCTGTGTTTGTCGGTCTCTCTCTTTATCTCTCTTTCTTCTCTTGTTTCTCTTCTTCTTTCGATCTAGGGATGGCTCTCAGAGTAAACTCAAGTTTTCCATTGGTCAGAAAAAGTATTCTAGGTAGCGCTCTCACTCTCATCCTGTGCTCTTGTGTATTTCCTCTGCTGTCAACCTGCTCGTCATCACCATCCTCTTCCTCACTTACTCTCTGCATGTGATTTTGTGGTCTAATTCTACTCATGTATGTACAAGATTGTTCTGTGAAACTGGCTACTCAATACAATATCATTGTAATTAAATGGTATTAAATAATCTCTCTCTCTCTCTCTCTCTCTCTATATATATATATATATAATATAATGCATTATAAAATATTCATTCTTACATTAATGACGCCTTATATTTTCATAAATAACTGTAACAACAGTTAGGCTATAACTTAAAAAAATATACTGCATTAAAACACATGGCCAACACCATATTTCAGGTGTTTTATCATGTGTTGTCTTATGTTGTCAATAGTGCACTACACTATTTAATGCATGTGCAGGTAATTTTTGTGCATTTGAATGTATATATTAAATTATTTTTATGGGTATTATAAAGCAAAGTATTATAAAGTATTTTAACTGCGGTTACAGTTAGTAAAGAAAGTATATAACAGAATGCAATTGATAAGGGATTATGAATTACTTTGTAATGCATGTATATATTTAATAGATATCTATGTAACAGATATATTGTTAGATAGATACATCTATTAAATAGATGGATAAACTAGATTTATTCTAAATATAAAGAAGAAAATAATGACCTGTCTTGGTGAACTTTTCCTTGAATATATCCGGCCAGACAGAATTTGTGGACTCTGTCAGGTGATGTTACCCAAAAACATGTCCCGGTGGAAATGTCTGCTCAGTGAGCTGTGATAACTTTAAAATAACTGCTCTGTGTGATGCCCAGCTTGAGTAAATTAATTATTAATTGTGGTGTGTGACAGAAAGGTTGAGGTTGTAATTTTGGTTTCAGTGAATGATGTGTTCGTGCCTTCAGTCACCAAGTGCTGTGTAAATGCATTTGAAATCAAATGCAAAGGTGTAATGCGTTTCAGATAACTACACTACAAATAGATGAGTCACCTTATTTAAAATTCCCAGTTTAAATATCAGCCCAATCTTTAATATTCCACCATTCGTTTTTGGCAACATGTGACACAATGTTGCCATCTAATGGTAGATAGGTATAATTGCAGATAAGCCTTCCACAGATATGAGATGTAATTTAGGTGAGCAGGAAAATAACGAGAGAGGAAAATATCCCTCTACCACATTACTATTTTCCATACTTATGAGAAAATGTCAAGGCCACACAATAGACAGCAATGTGATTAGCATAGGTCATGACAGATGTTCCTGTATTTTACATGACATTGACATGACATTTACCTAGACTTGATTGTTAGGTGAGATTAGTCTATTCGTGTGTCAATCATGAGGCCTTAAAGGACTGATGGAGAAATGTCACATTAGAATCACAAATCATAGAGTCGTTTACAGGGTTTTTATTGATATGTTTCTTTTTTAAGTCAATATATTACATGTCTTTTTAGAATATGTAAGATTTAGGATTGGTTTAGACTCCTGTACATTTCAGTTTTAAGATGTGCTTTTTTAATATTAAATATTTATAATAGATTTTGAAATTTATAGTATGTATAGATATATAATACTAAATATGTTCTATTCTATTCTTTCCCCGGTCAGCATCTGCACAAAGCTGTGGTGTTAAACTAATTATCTAAACCTTAAACAAGGCACACAATGCTTGATACAAATATTTTCTTTTTAAAATGCACCAGTTTTGTGGAAATAAATACATTGTTAAGGGTTATTTATTGTTGCATTACTCAGAAGCACAATGTACTATTTGCTAGCTAAGCGGTTATGCTGGAGGGATTCACTACTGATGCACTGAACAGATCCTCTGTCACTTTGGGTAAATAAAAAAGTGCACCAAAGCAATTTAAAGAGTTTTTGCTGCTGGGGAGAGGAGATTATTATTTTTTTTTTCAGATTCATTAACTAGGAATGAATTGAATAAGGCTGATTCTAGAGCAAGAGACCCTGAGAAAGGCACAAACCTGAGTTTAGAGTAGTTAATGTAGCAGTCAGTGCTGGAAATAACTGCTTATAATGACCTTGAATGAAGCTAGTCACACAACCCCTAGCTGAGATGTTACAAAGATGTTGCAAATGTGCCGTACGTGTGTGTGTGTGTGTGTGATACTAGCTTTGAAAGCAGAGTGAGCGAAGCGTAGGAAGATTCTGCATTAATTGAGCTCCAATTAGTGTGTTTTGGCCCTGAGAATGTGGTGGCAGTGAAAGAGACGAAGGTTTCCACAGTGTCATGCTTTAGGCAATCTGTCCTGTTTTTCTACACTGAACAAAATTATAAACTCTTTAGGCATTAAGCAACCATCTAGCAACCTCTCAGAATGCATTAGCAGCCCCATCGCAATCCTCTGGCAAACACCAACAACACCTGAGCACGGGTTCTGCACCGACAAGGAGCACGCACATTATCTTCAGAAAATGTATGAACGTTGTTGTTAATATCTTTTGCTCTCTCACAGATTACCTGGCCCCACCTCGAGGATGTCCACTGCGGGCAGTGAGAGTTCTCCTCGAGGGCCCATCAGTTCAGCAGGGAATCGCCGCAGTCAGGTGTTCAGCGATAAAGCCAAACCTGCAGCAGCAGCTCAGGCCAAAGGTAAAGCCAACGTCACAGTCTTTAAAGTGAAGTGACCTCTGAATCGAAACATTACTCATAATCTCATCAGAAAATGGCAGGTCAGGATTTAATTAAAGAGCATTTGTGTGGCAGCTGGCGTGTGAATGTAAAACAGTTTCTCTCTGACAGATTTGAACAAGCTTGTCTCTACAGAGTCCTTCCAGTTTATATTATCTGTGATTGTATCATGCCTAGGCAAATGAATCTATTTTCTGTATTTTATTTAATAAAAAATTGCTGACTAGCTACAGCCCCTGGCAATGTTTAAAGAAAAATTAGATAATAAAAAAAGATAGTTTCAGATGGACTAGAAGAAAACTGTGTCTCATGTTTTAGTTATGTATGGCAAGATTTGTGATGTGAATGAGGTATGTTTATGATTTGTTTCTTTCTCCAAATTAAATTTATTTTGTCATTTGTATTTTGAACAGTAATGGAGCAGTCTTCTCCATTTTAAGTAAAAGCTATGGAGCTAGTCTTTATTTACTCTGTGGGCTGTGTGCATGTACACTACGTTTTCAAATTATTATAAATTTTTTAATCAATGTTAATACATTTATTCAGCAAAGATGCATTACATTGAAATTGAAGTCACAGTAAAACATATTCTTTTGAACTTTCTGTTCATCAAAGAATCCTGAAAAAATAATAAGCAGCTTAGCTGATTTCAACATGGATAATAATAAGAAATAAAATGTTGAGCAGCAAATTAGTATATTAAAATGATTTCTGAAAGATCATGTAACACTGAGGACTGTAAAATTCAGCTTTGCCATCACAGTAATAAATAACATTTTAAAATGTATTCCAATAGAAAAAAGTTCTTTTAAATTGTATGAATATTTCACAGTATTCCAGTTTTTACTGTATTAGATCACATAAATGAAGCCTTAGTGAGACTTCAAAAACATAAAAAAAAAATAATCTTGCCAACCCTGAACTTTTGAATGGTACTGTATACCATTTATCATTTGTGCATTTACAAGAACAATGTCTAGATCTAAAATTTGCCGCTTGGTTAGCATTATCCAGTAGCCCACATGGCATAGGTGAAGTCAACAGAAAACAAAAGCGGACTTTCTACAGGAAGGTATTGCATTTTAAACATTTTCTGGAATAACATGCATTGATGAATTACACACCATAAGATAAACTGGGTCAGTTCTGAGTTCATGTTGACTTTAAGCGGTCACTGTGTTAAAATGCGCCAACTACATTTCTGTGCTCTGTGACGGAGCTGTGCTGAGTTTGGAGTAGTTAATGTAGCAGTCAGTGCTGCCACAATCAACAATCTGATCAACTCTATGCGAAGGAGATGTGTTGCACTGCGTGAGGCAAATGGTGGTCACACCAGATACTGACTGGTTTTCGGACCCCCCGGATCCCCCAGTACAGTAAAACTGCACATTTTAGAGTGGCCTTTTATTGTGGCCAGCCTAAGGCACACCTGTGCAATAATCATGCTGTCTAATCAGCATCTTGATATGCCACACCTGTGAGGTGGATGGATTATCTCGGCAAAGGAGAAGTGCTAACTAACACAGATTTATACAGATTTGTGAACAATATTTTGAGAGAGAAATAGACCTTTTGTGTACATAGAACAAGTCTTAGATCTTTGAGTTCAGCTCATGAAAAATGGGGGCAAAAACAAAAGTGTTGCGTTTATAATTTTGTTCAGTGTATTTTTCCACTGTATGTTTGTACATATTTCTAAATGAGCAAAGCATTTTAAAGAAAAATTCAAAGCAGGTTCTTCTAATGGTAGACTTTGCAAACTGCATGCCCATGTTCACTTTTTAAGAATATTTTTTTTGAATAATCTGACTTTAATATCAGACTTGTGTGCAGTTGACGAGTTCAGATGTTTTGGTCTTGTGACAGTGAAAGTTAGTAAATGGTGTCAGCCGACCGATTCTCCCATAATGCATTTAGCTCTTGTTATTTTGCGTGTGACCTGCTTAATGCAAAGCAGAGGGAGATTGTGAATCACAGAGCAAAGGAGCACAACTCTTCTGTGTGTGTGCCATCATTCTGACACTGTTGAAACAGACATAAGCCTGTTCTGAGATGACACGAGTCAAGAGTGGGCTAGAAAGAAGATTTAAAGGTTTAAAATTTTAAATCAGGCAAGAAAAAAAATCGCCTTTTATGTTTTCAGAGTTTTAAATCAATTTTCTAGACCGATAAGTAAATTTAAATTCAGTGCTGTAAAAAGTAGTATTTGTATAGTGGTAATTTTATGCAGTTTGATTTCATTTTAAAGCAGCAGTTTTTATTTTATTTTATTTTGAGAAATGTTTTTATACATAACATAATTTTTTCATTAAAGGGATAGTCTACCCAAAAAATGAACATTATTTACTCACCCTCATGTTGATCTAGGGCTGGACAATAATTCAATATCAATATGTATCGCGATATAATTTTTTTCAATAACGGTGATTTGATTTTTAAACACATTTCCGATATTTCGATATACATTACCAGTTTTCCATACATTGATTTATTTGTGCCGTTTGACTTCGTTGAATAAACATGAGCACTGCACGTTTCAAAATCATAACACGGCGCGGGTGTTTTATATGGATGTATCTCTGAAGGTAATTGACTGTCTTCAGAAAAGTTTCGATAGCATTTTCATTTGATCGGATAAAGTAGCATTCATGAGCGGAGCTGCTTTGATTACAGCCATTACTGGGGAATCCGCTAGTTTTATCACTCTAAAAGCGCCCCCTGCTGGCAGAGAATGAGTTTTCATTTTAAATAAGCCCGTCTCCAGCAACATTTCCAGTTTTTGTTGTTGTTCAATTTTTTTGTTTTCTGCAGTGACTCGGAGCACTTTTCATACCCTTTTTTCTGGCTGAAGCACATTTGTTTCAATCTATAAGAATAATCAGCCTACACTACCAGTCAAAAGTTTTTGAACAGTAAGATTTTTAATGTTTTTTTTTTT